CTGTTGGTACTAGTTAGGAAAGAGCAGCCATACCATTTCCTCAAAACGATCGGGAATGCTTTGCACGCGACAGCATTCAACGTTGTGACAGATGGACTGACAAGACACTTCAGGCACCAAGCTAGTCATTGTTTTTTTATTATTCATAACCCCCCAGTCAAACAGTTTGAAATGTACAGGGCGTATCAATGTCATCATCATCGGCTGTAAAAGCTACCCACTTACCGTATAGTGCTTCTAACTGCCATCGATTCGTTCGCTAATGATCTGGGGGGGGTGGGACAGACAGCTGGAGTCAGTAGTTGATATAATTGGTGGGAAGATACAGATTTGTCAGCGGACTTTTGAATGGGGAGACTAGGAAGTGGACTATGAACTGGATGCAATAGCTTGGATGCACGACAGCTATTGAGGGTACAGGTGAGCCACGTCTGACAGTGTCGCTTACCGTCGATGTGTCCCGTCTCGAGAGGGCGTGTAGGAAGTAAACTCATAATTCAATAATGTGTGAAGGACGTGGTTCTTCGGTCTTTGTGACAGTTGGCGACTTCTCCAGTATTTCCATACTCGCGGAATATAGTTCTCCGCAATCCGTTCAGTACAGACTTTGAGCAGCAAGAGTGACATTGGACCAAAACCATCCGCTTTTTCATTATTCAGTTTGGTGTAACAGTGATACTACTGATGGGGGAGGCATGAGAGTAGTATGTTTTCTTGTAAATCCGCTTTGCGTCTCTTGAAAAGTGATCTATTGCGGAATTTGTGGAGTCGCTTTGTAGCATCTACTTTGATTTGAGAAACAGTCAATGGCTATAGAGGGAATTTTAGAAAGACGCGCTCAAGAGAAGATGGATATTCAATTTTTTTAAACAAGATGCATATGCGAGTTTTGCTTCCCTGTCCAATAGTCTGTAACTGTTCAGTTGGCATTTTCTAATAAACAAATCGGCAGCGAAGGCCTTCCTCCTTTCACTGATAGTAAGCGATATCAATCAGAATGTTGGAAAATTGCGGTTGAGAACTTGTTAGCTGTTTTAATGAATTTGTGGTGACCGCCAGTTTAGGTCTACTATCATATGACTGTCTCAGTATACTACAGCAATCGCGGTAGGTACTGACATAACCTAGCCGCTGGACACAGGTTCGTCCCGACGGTTTATATCTGTCTGTCGATTTGTTTTGCTGACTCCTTTCCCGACGTCTGATGACAATTTTTCCGAAATCTGGACCTCCTTGAGAAGTGGTCACGAAAATCCATTAGCCACTGGATAGTGTTTCCACGGGACAACATGAATTACAACACAGCTTTTGATATAATCCGTCAGATGTGTACAATATACCGAAGCAATAAGATTATCAAAAATGGAAACTTTGCAACCCAAGGTGTTTTAGTCGGTTGACTGCTACTTTCTACTTTTGCATCAGTGAGGCTCTCGTTATTGGAATGTAATGATTTACTGGTAAAATACATATTTAAGGTAGAAATGACTTGTTGCTTAAGTTGCGACATTATTGACGGGAAAGCCAGCCTCTGCATCTTTACTTTTCCAATCTATGCTCGGGAAGCATGACAGTATCTCGTGATTCCTTCGGGGTGACAAGGCAACTGAACGATTATTGTTATTGATGTAATACACTACTCACAAAGTTGCTGAAAACTCATCGACAGCCCACGACTGGTTTCGCCCTTCTTGAGCCTCAACAGGTAGGCGCAGTCACTGAGTTCCTGTCAAAAGTATGTTTTACTTGAACCAGAATTGCGCGACATTGGCAAAATACACTTATTTGCGTACCGATTTGGTTTTAACTCACCTGGGACCCAAGCAACTCAATGTGTTGCATCAGACCTCCTCATGTTTCAGTTTGTACGATATTCGAAAGTCGCGATACATCTATAAACGCAATACACTACTCATTAGATCGCCGAAAGCTCTCCGACGGCTTAAAAATATCATAAACGAGAGATTCAGCTGGAATCCAGATGAGGCCACCAGCAAAACCAAATTGGTTTGCAAATGAATGTATTTCGCTGATTATTGTCACCAAAGGTTCTTCCGTACGTGGTGAACCCATCAGTACTATTGGCAAGCACAGACAAGTTCAGCACCAAGTCTTTTAGGGCGGTGCGCTTTGACAATAAGTAGCCAATGAAGGCAGCGTTGAAAGCACTGGCAAACAGTACCATATTAGAAGTAGTAAGAACAGAAGGAAGAGACCGATAAAATGCTCAAGAAAACATGTTTACGTCCCAAAAATTTACGCTTAGTTACAAAAACACACATTCACAAAGTGTGATGACGATAACAGAAAAATCTCAAACGAATCACTCGTTTATGGCATTCACAAGCATCAACACACTACTTATATGGTTGCTGAAAAATCATTGGCAGTTCACTGCCGGTTTTGCCTTTCTAGTATGGATTAAACCGAAACTGTATTCTGGGAACTGTCTGTTCGGTTGTTTCCTTCAGCCTCAGAAATATTTTTCTATCAAGATAGATGGTCGCTGTCCTGAGCGAAGCGACAAGAAACGCACAGGGACCACAACGATCGTTCTCTTGTGTAGTTGCTACTCTAGGACAGGGTGAAATTCGCCGTTATTCTGGTGAATACAATCGTACAGTTTAAAATATCCCCAATTCCAGAGACCCAACTACCGGAAAATCTACTTCAATGAACAAATGGTGGGAGCGAACATACATATTATAAAAAAATTCTTTTTTTCGAGAAATTGTGTCACCTTTATTCATTCCACTACTAATGACGGAAAACATATGCTGCGATATGTTGACATTTATTTCATCCTCCTTAGTGGCAGATGTAAAACATGTAAGCTGTTCACATAGAGTGCAAGGATTGTCAACCGGACACTGATTGGTTGATTTCTGCAAGTCAGCTGACCAATGGGAGGCTGAACGAATCGTTTGGACCAACTGTTTTAGTGCGCATGGTCTGGGCTGATTTGATCAGCGGCGCTCCCGTTATCACGGAAACTATGGGGTGAATCAGAAGCTGCTGACTGAATTCAATAAAGACCTGATTTTACTCTTTAAAAAAACGCCATAAGTTGTGAATTCGACAGACAAGTATTTTAACAAATCGATGGTATTGTTAGGGGCAGTCAGGTGACTGAACAGAAGGCCGCTAGAGAAATTTCAAAGTATTTAATGTGTAAGCAATTTGCTGGCGAAATTTTCTTTCTTATTGTCTTCCGTGGTTTTCAGATGTTTTTCGTCAAAAACTGGGTCAACCTTAAAATGGCATGCAAATTCATGTGCGCTCTCTGAATCTCACCATGTCTACCGTACTATGAGAGCAGGCAGTCCGTCGTAACCGACCCGCTCCAGCGCCTAGTGCTCGAGAAGGACGCCGATCAGGAACGAGCGAGCGCAAGAGCGTGAGTGCGGAACTACAACAGCCTCAATCTATTTTACTGGAGGGACACAGTCTGACCTTGGCCCAACGCCGTCTCGCGCTGTTTGGCTTTGACTCAAGGCTGCCATGCGCTGCATATTGAGGGGACTTTGTCTGTCCGCTTACTTTCTAGTGGAGTCGAGGTCTCAGTAGACTTCGGACATTCAGTGGTTACTTTCAGGTGTATGACCTTGATACGGTGAAAACCAATATTTTTTCATGATTGTTGAGTTTACCCGGTTGGAGGTCTCCATCCTGCAGGTATCAGAAAGGTCAGTTTCCTGAAAGTAACCTCAGAACGCCGGGAACCTACCGCTTCACTAAACTCTCGACAGGAAAGCCGGCAAGCATCCAGGCCAGTCAATCATTCAATCAATCACTCAATCAATTCAGCAAAAGCCGAGTCCTCATGCACGCCACAAAAGCGCGACCGAATGTGATCAGCGTTCATGCATTTCATAGAGGCATGATTGATGTTGACGGGTGATCATTAGCGCCTATCAGACAGTCTGGATAAATGTCAGAAAGCTCCTTTTTAATAGGGTGGAGTCGTTGTAACTTTTGCTCCTGCACTCGCTTGTTCGGAATATAGCGGTTGTGTTCCCTTCTGTGAGCCTTTTTTCCGGCAACTAGGCACTGCAGCGGATCAGCAGCAGATACCAAAGTTTGGCGAGTCAGCAGATATAACAACAGGATCTTGTGGTAAATGAACACACATTGCGGACATGTTTTTTTACATTTCTAAATACAATGTTTACATCAGGATTACTCTCTTTGCGTTGCAAAAGAGCGCCGAAAAAAATCGATCGTCAGCATCAAAGAGTAATCTCATAAATTAAAGACCGGTTGGTAAAATCGATAGAGAATCTGTAAGTGAGAAATCGTGTGATTGGTGGGTTTACAGCGAATCATCGAAATGTATAAAGGAAAGCCGGACACACATTGGTGCTGGTTGCCACTGGGGAGAGTTTATGGACCGATATAAAATCGTGGATGCTTTTGGTTGATCATTGGTTCTGAAGGAGGCGGGAGCTTCGCCTCTGTCGGCTCGACATTCCACATTTCGGTCGCATATTCGGATATAGTGCGATCTGAGGAGAACTTCCCGGCGCCCGCTATGTTATTCAAAACCATGGTTGACCATCGTTCTTCATTCTGAAACAGAAGTATCCCAAACCTGTTAGTACCTGAACCCGTGACTATAGACGACGCTGGAAAAATAATTTGAAGTGGAATTGAACGTTTGTAAAGTCTTCCTTCCCCTGTCCAGGTGGAATATAGAATATATGTGCTATTCCTCAAGAAATGCTAACGAAACCTATGCGAATGCGGTTTGGACGTTTATTCTGAGTACTTCAGTAAAGACATGTTGTTACTTTGTCACAATGAAAATTACGAATCTTGGTGATCATTCAGATAGAAGCAACGAATACAAATGCCCATCAGTCCAAATCAGGTCACTCTACGTTTTGGGATGTCGCTGATTAGCTGCACTGTTCTGGATTTCAGAGACAAATTAAAACGAAGAATCCTTGATACCTTCTTATTTTCGTGAATCCCGATCTGGATAGCCAATCGATGGCCTGGTGCACTTGGCCAAACCAGAAAAAGTCAATGAACGTGCAAACCGGCTGATCTATTGATCAACCGGTACAAGCGGGTCAAAAAAAGTGCTACTAAGAATACAGGTCATCTGTCAAGGACGAGTGGAGAACAACCAATGACATCTGTCTCATCGAAAACGGTTATTCTATTGGCTGTTATGTAGTTCCGTTACGTTCGGAGCTGGTTCTCCTAATGTAACGTTGACACTACTGATGGGAGGCATGCGAGTAGTATGTATTGTTCTTTCATTGAGTTCACATGTTAAGCGTACTTCAAGCGCATTGGTGAGCAGGTTCTCCGGGAGGGCAAAAAACGTGTCCAGTTAACAGCAGTCAGAAGTGGATTAGATTGTCTCCACTTGCTCAAGTTAAAATCTTCGGATTTTCATACGCTAGCAACAATTTGTAAGCAGCTCAGAGTAAGAAAAATCCTGAAGATGAATGAAGCTCCCATGTGAGAAGTCATTACTTGAGCAGCTTGTCAGAACGTGTGATTACGTGATCTGCATGTTCCAACTGAAAAATGAACGGTGCTATATCCTGTCGAAGTGCTAGCTAATCACTTCGCTGATCAGTTGTTCATGGTGTGACGGCTTATTGTTAAAAAAACTAGCCGAGAGTTCACGAGTTCGAATCTACCTGTGGATTTGTAAGACGCGCTCAATAAAGATCTCGAGATAAGTAAAATTATCACAGCTGTATTCATGGGGTTATGACGGAATTTTCCATCGGATCACGCTGGAACCTTTGTGAGGGCCCGAAAAGAGCCAAAGTAGAAATGCTTGAACCTGATTGGCTGATGTTCCTACCAATGAACACGCGCGCTCGTTTGCGGTGTCGCCCAATCGACGTGCTGTTCGGTCATTTAGAGTGGTTCGCCTCGCAACACATATGGCAGTGAAGCTTTGAGAATCGGGTGAGTTTGTACAGCTGTGTCCCACCTGAGTTGCTCAGCAGATGAGCTTTACTCGTGGTGGTCGGATTCAAACCTGCTTGTTGAGTAGCCTTTTGTCGTAGGTTTTCCCAAGGTTATCCGATCGATCCTGGACCACGTATCCACCGATGAGTTTATGCAACTGATGAATTTCACTAAAACCATGAAAGTTGGTGTGAATCAGGTGTTGATTTATCCAGACAACTAACCGACTATTGGTGAATGACTGGAGTGCTTTAGTTCGGTGCTCATTCTGTTCGAAAGATTTGGTAATTGCCGAGCCATAGACATGGAGTTTACCAGATGTTTTGGATCCAAAGATCCGACTCCCTGAGATAAATGATGAGTTCTGACCTCAACCATTAGTCAGCTGATTGCTTGAGTAAGTTACCAGCTGATTCCAAACAAAGTTTTGCACTTAATCAGCTGATTGAATCGATTGATGTGGTTGTTCTGTGCGTAAATGAATACCCAGAAACGGAATCATCTTCTGGTAGTCACCATCAGCGCGCAGGGAATCTAGGTGGACACCACTTTAAATCTTGGGAGCATAAGGCTCCTAGCTTTTAATGCAGCGCTCCTGCTTGACAAGCGTTCACATAAAATGGCGGTCACTTAATCTGTTTCATCAAAAAGGTAACGAGACAGAGTTTAGAAGTGGTGACGCTTCCGTTCAATGATCGTTTATGAGAACAAGCATTGATTAGCTCAAAAAAGACTCACTCGAAAGGCTTGATCCACTTCAGTCTGTGCCCGTACATAGTCTTCGTAATCCGCGCAGATCAGGAATCGGTCTTCGTTGAGCAACTTCTCGTACAGTTCCTGGAACAGTTCGGGTTCTGCTGGGTTGTAATAACCGGTGCGGATCTGCTCCAAGCAATGATTCAGTTCGGGATTGCTCATAATGAACTTCCGTGGGTCGTAACTGGTAGAAAGATGAAGCGTTTACGTATTATTCAAAGTCACACGAACAAAAGTTCTCGCTGGCAAATGATATGTTAAATGTAGAGTCCGGCTAACCCTTTACAGAGCATAAAAAACTGGTCAGTAGACGGAGGGTTCGCCGGTAGTCTTCCGGTCTTTTCCCTGACATTTGGCGGTCTTTAACCGTGAAGTTTTAGTGGGTTCCTAGCAAATGGTGACCAAAGTGGTAGGCAAAAAGTTACCATAGGTAAATGGATGATTAGCTGTTCAGCAACGTGGTTCATTTGATTGACTTCTCTACGATGTGGACAACAATGTCTCGCACAGGTTTGCAATTCCTGCTTGGTAGCAAGTCTTTTCGGTGCGTAATCTTCAAGTAGTATTAGAACGTAAGGGCGCACAAATTAGCAAAGCTGTGGAACGTTCTGTCCTCTTGTGTGTCGTTCCCTGTGGATTGCCAGTTTCAGTGACGCTTGCAGCCATTGTTTCGAGTTTGTTCAGAACAGGTGTGAATTTAACTCTTGTTGAGGGAACTCTCTATCACACGTACACATCGGTGGGCTCAGTTTTATTTACCTCCCACACTTTTAGGCTAAAGAGTTTTGTTTTTCTTCATTCTGGCAATTCTCATCTCGTTTATACAAAACGCTTGAGGAAGAAGCTGGGGGAGTGGCGATCCATGCAGCTGTGAGAAGCGGTGAGACACGATAGGCAGATGCTCTTCAATGATTGGGTTGTGGAATAAGCTCGCGGATGACTGGGATACTTCAATGACAAACAAATATTCCGTTTGGCGCTTGTTTTCAGTGAAATTGCACTCAGAAAAAAGTAGCTATACTAACTCCTCGGGTCTAAAGTGAGATCTAAGAATTGTGCTTAGTAACGGACGAGGTGGCTCAAGGGTTAGAGCGAGAACTTACCAACCGGAAGGTCTGTGGTTTTCACCCGACCTCTGCCTCTCGACTTCCCAGGTCTACGCTTCCCTGTCCTCGTGCTTCCTTCTTGTAGCACGATAGTTAGGCACCGAAAGCGTGCTACTGTCGAACGATTTTTCACCGGCGTTTCCACAACTACGCTGATTACAGCTCGCTCCTAACACTAAACGCCACGTGTCCTTTGTTGTCCACTTAATTAACCTGTTTATCGGACATCAGTTGGACGCTGGTTCTCCATCTGTTTATACTATTTTTTAATTGTTCGGTAAAATTGGTGATCGATAAACTGGATGAGGGCAAGCGCTAATTTCGATCTACCCAGGTGAACCACCGTCAAACACCAACCGGTATTTAGCAAATGGGGTCACATAAGTCCTTCTGTGACAATGGACGCGTTCGCTCACATAAATGGAAGCCAAGTGCTTCCCTGAAGATAAACCACAGAGGGATAACTTGCTGCATGTGGGTCCTCTGTTCTGCTCAAATATACATCGCATCCAATGCGTTCTTCCGGAACAAAATACTGCCGAACACTTCGTCAAAAGGGAAATCTTGAGAAAGTGATGGCAGGAAACACTGTTTGATGCTATTCAACGTGTGGTCTCCTCAGAAGGAGGGATCAGATGGTCATGGGGCCAAGAACTTGGGATGAGACTTCTGAATTCGAGTAATAAATGTTGGTGTACATATTGCGGTGTGTCTTCCTCCAAGAACAATCTATCTTTATTTCTTAGTGATTAGATCGAGGCGGTGCAAGTCATTGCAACTTTAGGCGAACTGACGGGTGACCCGAGTGACAGAAAGCTTCGGCCATCGCAGTCAGCGTGCTTGACCGATGTGGACTGAGTCATACGTAGCCTCACAGAGGATAAACAAGAACCGAAACAAATGTCACCTAGTGTTTCCAAAAATGTGGTCCTCTTTGAATGGTATTATTCTGCGTGTCAACCATGACGTGACCAAAGCTTTCGGAAGGCTATATGGGTGAGTCGCTCTGAGTGGATGTTCTTTGGCATGGCACCGATCAAGAAGTCTTCATCTTGATATAAGTATTCCAGACTGCAGGCGTCTCTTGCTCTGCGTGGGAGCATCTCACGTAGACCTCATTAATAAGCCAAAGGTGCGAAACTCGCAAAGTGGATATTTTGACCGACTAAGATTGTCCTACATAAAACATCGTTTGTTTTAAGACTCGGAGCGCAATCCTTCAGACTGGTCGTCTGAACTCGCGCTGATGTGATAAGTGGCGAATTATTTAACAATTATTTGAACAATTCAAGGTCAACCCCATATAAAAGTACAAATCAGTGACCGAAATATACCATATGGTGTTACAACTTACCCTCTGGATCGCAAGAGCTTGACCCCATCCAGTGTCCTTCCGAATATGAACGCATTCTCCTGACCGATTTCTTCAAATATCTCTACATTTACACCGTCTCTGGTACCGATTGTCAGTGCCCCATTAAGCTGGTGAATATAGACGAAAACAAGTGAGCGAATGAAAAAATTTGAGTACCGGTATTTTTTGATCAACTTTTGATAAGCGAAAGACCTAGTGACATATAGAATGAGCAAATTAACCCGATCTTTGCCTGCGTTTTTTAAAAAGAAAGTTGACCACTGTGGCTCTTTTGTACTAGGGATGCTGAACGAGGATGGAACGGTAACTGGAGGGGGGCAGTGAGTAAAAGCGGATGCTTGGGACACTCACAGCTTTGCATATAAGGTGGTCTAAACCTATTCGTCCGGTTGAAGGGGAGACGGGCGAGGTAGATAGACAAGGCGGTAGTTTGGCGTTCCATCCGTGAAGAAACCTTGCAGAGGTGGTGATAACTATTTCCCCGAAAAGTAGTTGGTCGTCAAGTGGAGAATGAATGTCTCCCCCCCCCCCAAGACCTTCGGTTGACAAGAGAACCAGAGCGAGGCTAGCAAGTCGTTGGGGTTGGGGGAAACACCAAACTCAATACTGAGGGCTATAGGACGCTGTTGGATCGGATAACTGATTAAAGTGTGTGCCCAACGGTCGAAAAACGATGACACTGTGCTGTAAGACTCCATTTGTTTGCGGTGATCAGTCAATGTGTTCATAAAGAATCGCGAAGCTGAACAGAAATTTTGGTAATACAAGGATCTGAAACACGCAGTTATAGCCATTATGTCTTCTCTGTAACAGACCGACCGTGATGTGCCGTGCGTGCCAACTTGGCGAAATATGGGGGGGGGGGGGGTGTGAGTTTTCTTCCCATTGTCCAGTGACATCAGTTGTAAGAACCGCAGACTTGTCGTACAGTGGTTGCAGCTGTCACAGTTTCGTTCACCGATGATTCGGGGAGGTGGTGTAGGTAGCTGCCAATTGAAAGCTGGACCTGATATCTTGGTGCGTAAATACAAGACTATTAAGTGGGGGGATTTGGAAGGAAGCTATGTATTGAAGGCACGAGCGCATTGAGGGGGCGACTGGGGCCATTTCTACAATGTCTCCAACCATTGATGTGGACCGGCTCGGTGTCGCCATCTAGGAAGACGTCATTGACCAAACAGCTGAGTTTGCTGGTAGTCGCTTTTATACAGGTACTTTTATATAGGTACTAATTTGATGGTTTGCCATGAACATAGGCATGAACTAGGGTTACACGGGAATTGCTTTTGTAACAGACACTCTCAGGAAATCAATGGGGACCACTGACCGTCGACTCTGCCTGATTGATACGGAGTTATCGATGACGCACATTAGCCCCTCTGTCACAAAGTAACGAACACCAGTGTCACGCCTCAAGTGAAAACTGAAATAGACTGGTAGCCAACATTTAGGGCCCTCAAGCCTGTGAATCCGTAGATTGAAAGTCCAACTCACCTGCCAAAATGACAACGGAATCACGGTGTTCCTCGATATGGGATTGCATATATGACTGATGAGAACCTACCAACCTTCAAGATGGTGGATATCATACCGGGTATGAATATTTGGGTATCTCGAATACCACTCCAAATAAAGTATGAAGCAGCCTTTTTCCAATATGTTTATCTAAAGACAAGTATACACACGGGGTTCATCTCAGACAACTTCCAGCTGCAAATGGGCGCCTATCCTCACAGAGTGACGGTTCCTTTCATTGATGTGAATATCAGCGAAGAGCTAATTTCGGTTTCATAAATACATAAAAAACTGCCTTATTTAGAATGTGAATTTTGGATTAAACGGTTGCCAATAGATTGTCCTGTTGGGGCAGTAGTTAAGTTGACATTCGTTAGTGCCTGCTACAATAGTCCGCTGAATGGATGTTATTCCTTTCGACCGAACCAAACTTGGTGAACTTGACGCCTTGCTAGATGAACTAATTACAATCCCACAACAAATTCCCACACTACCGCCGAACAAAGACCACTGATTTTCAATAGTCAAGCAAAATCCGAAGCTACTCACGACGGCAATTGAGTAGCTTTAAACTTTGACCAGACAGGGTATTAAATCGCCAAGTTCAACATTACTGGTCACCACTGGCAGGTCTTGCTGGCATACACCGGTGAGATTGACCACTGAAGTGACAACGTACCGGAGTGCTTACTGGGTCTTTGTGTACCCCAGAAGGTTGGGAAAATGTGTGTAAACCGACTCTTACGCCATGTCCAAGAGAGAAGGGTATCTCGCTCCAACATTCGTGAAGTGAAAGCTACGCTTCCAGTAGCCAGAAGCGTACCCCTGGGAGCCGTAGTATGCTTGAACAGCATGCCAAATTTATTACATCAAGAGCTTTGAGTCTGGCGTGATGGGAACAACGGACGACAATCAACTTAGGAGTTTGAGTGAGAATAACTCAGCGAAACTTCGTAGCCTCAAGCCATGATCTTGGGCTCGCGGGAAAATAAAGTAATTTGGTCTCCGGCAGAATCACGCTGTTTATGTCAGGTAAATACAGTTTATTTAAAACTGGTCCTTCTTACTACTGCTACTATTATTATTATTATTATTATTATTATTATTATTCAGATGACTGCATGTTCATTCTGCACGCAAAAAGCAAGTCGAATTGGAAAAATCAACTGTTTGAGACTGTTAGAAACCGACTAATTTTATCCATATTCATGTGGAAAAATGTCCATAAAACAGACACCTCGCAGACGCCAACTTTTTGAGGTTAGCCACTGACGGTCTCAACCGGAAGTACACTGCACTTGCGACGAGAGTCTGACGACACAAGTGGTGTTATGGGGAGTTTCGTGTTACTCCACGGTTCTTTGGCCGAATGGTGGCTGTGTCTACCACCAGGTTTCCATACCACTTTGCACCGGCAAGTGCACTGAATCACTTCTCAGTTGATATTGGATCTCATGTCCCGATGCTCCAGTTCGCTTCCTATGCGATCAGAAAACTCGCATCTGTTCGGGTCATCAGATCAAAGCGGTCTCGATAAAAAAAGATTTCACTTAACAGTTCTCAAAGTCTACTGTCTAGCTTGCATGAAATCAGTAGATTTCGTTCCACTGCCAATCGATTTTGTGAAGCTGAAATAGTCAAGCCACTGATGAAATTCTTAGGAAGGAGCATGGTTGAAAAGGGGTATTCAGTTGTCGTTTGACCAACAGATGTTTCCAAAATCCCTACTCAGACCAGCTGCAAGTACAAACGTGGTAAATCATCTGATCGCTGGAAGATTTGCGATTCGTTTGGTATAAACAGTTGTCCGCGAGCGAGATGTCTCACCGGTTAGAGGGCGGATTTACTGACCAGTACGTCCGTGGTTCAAACCCGACCTCTGCCTCTTGACCTACCCTGTCTAGGCCTGGGCAACCTGACAGTATCCCAGCCCTCGTGCTTCCTTCGGGTGGCACCAGAAGGGTGCTACAACTAAATGATTTTCAAAACTGTTTACCGATTACAACGTCACTCTCAATCGTTGGAATGATGCTAACCGATTACACTAAGGAATCGTGCTCCGAAACAGCACATCATACAAGCACGACAGACGCATTTGGTGGGCTTCGACATCCGTAAAACGCTTCTCAGCTTCGGGGCGTAAAAACCATTCAAATGGGTGCCACTGTATGAAACGAATTTTCCACCGATCTCTACTGTGCCCAGTTTGAGATGCTGCAAGATTAGGCTGCTAACCAGCGTCAATGGAGTTCTCGTTGTTAGTTTCTACCGAGATTACCTGAATGAGTCTCTGGAGGTGTAGGCATCTCGGAATGATAAAACTAGCCTGACACTAAGTCCCCTCCCCGTACAATTGTACGTTTTTATTAAATAAATTGTGGTTACACGGCGATGCAGCATCAGTGTTGTGCTGTCGATGATGATAATGGAGGATAGGTCTTCACTGTAGAAGGTGCGAAGATTTCGGGCTTTCGATCGACCTTCAACGAGGAGCTCCAAATTTCTGTGCAGCTGTTTTGTCTTTGATGGTGTGCACCTGTTCTTTTACTATAGAGGAATTCCATTTTCTTCCACACACTACTTAATTCGATAACATTACGATAGCAAGGCTACTTGAGATTCGGTCCAGTTCGGCTTGTCATGATATGGAAAATTCCCTGTATAAATGCCAAACGACCGAGCGAGAAACTCCTGACTCACCATAAATTTCATGTTCCCTGTCCCGGCGGCTTCTGTACCAACACAGGGAATTTGTTCGGACAAGTCAGCTGCAGGAATCACACGCTCAGCGACGGAAACACGGTAGTTGGACAAGAATACCAGCTGAAGGGGGATCAAATACAGACGGTTATATCAGGGAGTGAACGAAATGGCAAGACACGGGTGTACACAACGGGCCTACCGATTGCCGGTGGGATACCGGGCTAGTCAAGCAACTGCACTGGCTGTCTGTTGCTTGGTTAGATATTTATGGAAAATTCTCGTGGTGTCTGCCGTAAAAAGGCACTAATCCATGGAACCAACAAGTTGATCTCCATCGGATCCATCAGTTCCCTCCTAATTGGCTATACATTTATAAAAAAATCCTGGAAAAAATCCATGGAACTTGTTATTGTTGTAACCAAACAGTTTATATTTATCGGATACGTTGAGGGGCATTGAATCGGAAAGCCCAAATTTCTAGACGAATCATTCTGGGGCCATACCATCCACCTAACGACGTGTAGGCGTTCTCGGACATTTGAGATGATGTCTATCAAGGTATCGGGAAAGTGCACACAGTCCAAAACGGAATGACTTCCAGGTGGATTCCATCAAGGTCCCATTTAACCTTCCAAATTTGCTTCTAAACGTGTGCACCTTCCAGTGTAATTGGACAAACTATGCGAGGAAAAGAAGTAGAGTTCCAGAAATAATTATTTTTTGTCACCGATTGGTTTTGAAAAGTCCGCAGTAAACTAGTGGTTATTTGGAAGTCAGTTAAGCTGCAGAAGACTTTGGAAGTTCTGTTAACGCACTCCCATTAGATTTTGGTGTTTAGATACAGTGAGTCGACGACCCGCAACAGAGGGACGCTTCTTCCCGGACACTGACGCTGACCGTTTAAAACCTTTTCCCGGACACTGACGCTGACCGTTTAAAGAAAGAATCCTACAATTTGATTCCGATTATTCTCACATAACGCCAAACCGAGTAGACATTTCGGAAAAGCTTGTGGTAGTCGTTTCCGAATTTCGGTTACTTGCTGAACTACTGATTAGTAATATACTGAAAAAACGGAAGATCGAATGTCCTTCAAAGGCTTGTGAATGTCATTTATTGTCTGGGCCACACAGTCATGATGACGTGGCGGTGACCCAAATCTTGTGACTCTCAAGAAATGTCCTGCAGTCGGTGATGACGTAAAACCTAGAACATTCGTGTGCATCCAAACGGATCTTGTCTTGATGCTACGGTTTGAGTCTTACGCAATATTTACCGACTCACCTATCAGGTTGGCCTGACAAATACCGTCTCTCGACTCCGCAAGCTGAGGGTTGGTAAAATTGACATTTTCTTCCTCAGATTTGAACTGGGCCGACATTAATGTGATGGTCGTCATTGTTCTTTTAAACAAGAGACTCTGATTGTGGACCCTCATCGTTCAGCCCTCTCGTTTTTGACGCTTGTATACCAAACACGAAATACGTAAAGAAGAGTACTTTAATGGCGTATCGATCACCACATGTTGACCTCAAACACATCAGTTTTATTCACTGTGTAAGACGGTGCAGGTGAGCGTCAGACTAGAAAGTTCTCCTGCATTTCCGAATTGTTATCCTTTCACGTCGGCTGGTCCCGTTGATAAATAGCCTTCCGAAGAATCTCACTTGCCATTGGCAACACCTACCGCCAAGTACCCATTACCAGGCCTCTTTAAGCTGTATTTGAATGGACTAAAACGTGAAAAACCCTGAGTTCCTCGGTCCAACGGTTGCAGTCTTGCGTACTCTGTGCAAATTATTGATAGGCCTTTGCTGTTGAGGAGAATGTTGGCAGTGTAGATGGCCGCTGAGCTGAGTAATTGGATTTTAGAGATTTCATCACCCATTGAGATGATCCGACTCTAAGGAGTTTCTCGTTTCTTGATTTACTACAGCTGAACAATTGTACCGTTCTACCATTCAAACAAGCAAGTGATGCATTGAGCTCGATCTAATTCACACAGCACAACGTGCAAAGGACAAATATCGGAACCGGAATAATCAAGGAGAGCTGAACATTGGATTAACAAACCAAGAAACAAGGAACCTCTTGGAGTCGGACCAAGCGAGTTCACATGCTAGCGGCCAGAGAAGTCAAGGACTGAGATCAATCCAGCGTTGACCAGAGTAAGAAAGCGGGGAGAGGCCAAGCTCGAAGGTCATTGATAACCAAGGACACATATCGGAACAAACCAAAGAACCGACCGACCGAACAACTAATCGTGATCGAAGGTCAGCCCCGGTTAGCGGCGCGTATATTAACACACATGCAACACTACTCAACGAAAAACCGCCGTCCCATCGCCACGCTTCACTTCGCTACCTAACAACGCACACCGATGATATCACCTCGATTGGTGGTGAAACGTTTACAACCATATCGCACAGCTAAGCGAACAAACCAACGATGTGTGTTGGTTACATCTCCGAGTTCGGAGATGTAACTCTGCGTAGAGCTGTATTTTCCAAGTCGAAAAACATAATCAGCAAGATGTTTGATCATATATCAGCTCAAACAAGGTTTGTTTATAATGAAGACTCCGTCCTTCAGTGAAGCCAGTCTATGCTGAAAATTCGAGAACCATCGTACAGCTGTTCCATCCTTGTTAGGGATCATCAGTAGTGCTCATCTCAAGAAAATCCGGGGGTCCTCTGACATGCGGACATTCACATGTTTAGCTAGGAGTGACCTCTCGGGAGGTCGCGAGTTTGAGAAATCCTAGATGAAACCTCAGTGGAAAACTATCAAATTTCACATTACCAACCAAGGGTGTTTATTGATTAGGATTCGTGTTGGACCCACAGGCTTCGTGGAACGAACGAAAGTAGTGCTCACGGGAATGTGCGAAGATGATTTCAGCTGATCGATAAAATAGAATCAAAGGGAGCAATGTTATGGGAGACACAGCGAAGTCACAGTATTCCTCAACCAAATGTACTGCTAATGGCCGCTTCATTTTTCCGTTAGAAGATAGGCTTTTCCACATAACACTACTCATAGGGTCGTTGAAATGACTCGTCCTTCCTAGGAGTCATCAAGTAGGCGCAGTGCCCGAGTTTCCAATAACAGCATTTTTCCAATGAACACGTACTTCAGCAACCTTATGAGTAGTGTTATTTCAAGATCATTGAGGGTTTTCTGTTAGCGGTTTAATCAAAGATAACATTGGAACTACCTATTGCAGGTGCCTTCCAGACGGGTGATGTGACGTTTCAGTTTGTTCCCTTCCCTATTGTGACTAGATGGCCGGTTAACTTAGACTAATTCCTTCATCCTACTGGTGAAGTGTGACTATCTTCTAACAAACCGAATCGCTTAGACCTCAGTCTCATGGCATTTACGACAGAAAGCACACATTATGTTTCAAAACAACGCCAGGTGGTCTGATGATGGAAGTCGGTGGAGAAGCCAATCAGAGCCGGAAGGATGTTCCGAGAACTTTACCATTCTCAGGCAAAGTACATATGCTATGCCAACTCTATATCAAAAAAATAGTTCACCAATGGCCAATATGGTGTTGCCCATTGTATCCCGAGGGTGGTGTGTATCAGGATACGGTGTGGGCTGTACCTTCATGCTTTTGACCATAAATATTACTGATGAGAATGCTGATAGCTCAGGCAGCGTAGACAATCGTCGGTTTGTTTACTGAGCTGGGCAATTTGATCGCCGGTCGAAATGACATTATCAATGCGTTGCTAGGGCGGTGTTATAATCGGGTTGACATCAACTAATTAATTACAAGCTATCTGAAAACAGTAGTATCTGATTGTGCATAAGTTAATTCAGCCGCGGAAATTATGCGTGACCGATTCTATGGTTTAACCATGTGGCACATTTGTCGATCAACTGTTAATACAGACCAGTCTTGTTGGAAGTCAAACGAAGGGCACTTATACGGATCAGCAATCAACCCGGCCCTCACAAACACATTCGCATTGGGACACTTTTCAAGCGAACTGAATTACCCTACAACACGGTGGAATCCAAGGCAAGAGGAAGATGATCACAAGCATACTACAACACAATAAGAGTTGCCACAGACCTACTGACACACTGCGAAGTGCATTTTCAACACCAAAAGGGGAACTCAATGAAATGGAAAAGACAAATGTGACCTAAAAAACTAAATGCAAGGATTATGAAAAACACCACGTGGGGCCAAGAGGGAGGGAATTTTCAACCACAGTCAATGAACACATTCCACTCTCGCCCACCTCTGTACATGTAGACCAGGAAACCGAAATATATCAGTGTAATAGAACAAGCAAGAGCAAAGAAAGAGTGGGAATTTATGGAGATGTGGTACTCCATTTACACAGCAATAAACGCATGCATTGAAGACGACACCGTCTATCAACCTCCGAAGGAAAAGGAGGAGGAGGAACCCTCAAAACCCGAGCCGAACAAAGAATCGAAAAAGAAACCAACCGAACTGAGAGGAAAAGACATCCAGGTTGAAGGGTCAAATTAATTCGACCGGAGTTCGCAGATTGCTTCAGGTATTACAAAATCAACCAGCCAATACAATGGGAGGCCACTGACATGAAACATGAAAATCATGATTAACCGCAAGTTGAGAATGGACCAATCAGGCTGAGGACACCAAATTACCGTCAACCAATCAAAATGCAGGATGGTGAACCACAAGACAATACAGACCCTGAACGAATCGATCAGGACGGAGAACACTGGACGTCAGTTGCAGCGTGCATGGGGCAGTCGAACATGTGAACCTTTCGGCGCAGAGGATAAGAACAAACTCTGGATGTTGGACCATTAGTGTATCCGAAGCGCTAGTGGGGTCCATTGGGGCAACCGGATTAATGCTGTTGAGGCGCGTTTGCTGGTTTTAGATAAAATGTACTCTGGTGCAGTGGATGAACTACTCACGCTTCACAGGTCAGTCTGGCTGAGATTTGTTTCACACATGCTTCCTAAGCAAAACACCACCTGGGCTCACTCATCTAGAGTCTAGACTTCATACTACTATATAGACATAATACACTACTCATAAGGTTACTGATACCTCTACACAATGCGGTGAGATATCGTACCAGCTGAAAAATGAGGCAGCCTGGTACATTCAATTGAAGAGGAACATCATAAACGAGAGAATCAGTGTAGAAGCCTGTAATTGGACAACAAAAATTGCTTGATTGGAGCCTGCTTACCTTCAAGCGTCCGGCTACGAGGGGATCGTAGTTGATCGTCCGTGCGATTGAATTGATCAGTTTTATTATCATTTTTGCCATCTGATGCCCTGGAGCAGCGTTCCCGCCAATGATGAAAGTACGTGGACAAATGTCGATTTGAGGATTTGCCTTTAGGCGGTTATATAGGGTCATGACATACAGGCACATGAGCAGGTGGCGCTTGTACTCATCCACACGTTTCACCTGAAGGGGGAGAAAACGATTCAGTGTTTTGTAATTGAGATGTTTAGGCAGGAATATTTACCTATTTGAAAGGGCACAGGCAAAGAAGATAGGTTGTGAAGCAGAGTAATTCCTGGCAGACAAAAATTCGCGAAATCCTCACCAATGTGGATCTTTGGTGGTTTTCCAAAAGAAAAATATCAGTTGGTAATCTTGGATAAGAAGCAGCTATTACGGTAGGCCCACTTAACGTGTGCGCGTGGGGAGCACTGAATTCGGGTGTCGCACCCAGTACAGCCAGCCAGCAGTACGCATCATTGACCGTGCCGTTATTTGAACTCCAGACATAAGCATGCGGGGTGAGCGTGTAAGCACGACCGCACCAACACACTTCGGATGCGCCGAAGCAGGCGGACGTTTTCACGATTGAGCGATGTGATTGGTTTGTCCGACACCCAGGGCGGCGAGCCATATTGTCGATCGATTGGCCCATCCGCCAGGCGCTACGGACGCCCGAAGCCTGCCGATCAATACTCGTTGAGCTGTGGGTGGTTGCGGGTTAAATTACGTTCTCTTATACAGAAACATTACTTCCCTTCAGCTATTGTTGTTGTTAGTAGTTCTGTCGATCTGATGCGGTATCTATGCATGCCATTTACACAAACCTAGAGATGACCTAGCATTAATCATCTAGTTGATTGGTTGGCTCACTATCTGAGCTTGAACCTATTCGTTTCGGAATTGGTGAGAGGGACCACAAGGTTATGCTACTTGGACGGGACACAGGACAGCGCACGGACGGTTCCAACCTTCTTGGGTTTGATCAGGCAAGTGCAGTCCCCAAGTTCCGGTCAACCTTAAGAAGAACATCAAAACGAGAGATTCAGTTGAGTTCAGTTGTGTCTCTCGTGAAAGCCAGATTAGTATTCAAAGTTAGATCACATGCAGGGAATCAATAAGAACGCGTTATTCTCTCTCACCTTGCGAAGAACAATAAGCACAAAGGCCTAAATGTGCGACTACTAGAGAAGATCGTGCACGTGTCGAGACACCCGTTCCGTAAACAGTGTGAAACTTATGTGCATTGTAATGCACAAAGAAATCTGATTGTCATCGAACTTAGCAGGTCTATCGATTGCTCAGATCGGAGGCATTGACTGGTCGGGAGTTGACCTTCTTGATACCACTAAGGTGCTGGTATCCTAACACGTTATTCACCTATGCTAGAACTGTCTAAAGTTTTCGACTCGACTTTCGTTAGTATACTTAATTTTTTTCGGTAAGAAGTGTCTTTCCTCAATGTTGATAATGTGAACCATAACGATGGACGTCCTTTCGGGGGCCAGCTGTCGTTCCACTCGGAGGCGACACCATGGCTGAGGTACTGCCAGATTACCCAATCCTGAAGAGGAGCAGTCTAGATGCCAGGTTGGGTTGGAACCACAGACTTATCGGTCAGTAAGTCTGAAAACACCGAGCCATCTCGGTGACTTGAAAAGTCTTGATTGTTTCCGGCTCGATTCTTTGGGTTCCACCACATGACAACAGGCTCAACTGGATGGTAATTTTGTAAACTACAGCCACGTCCTCGTTACTTGTGAGTGCAACTCACATTCTACTTCTGGAAGATCTACTTTGAACCTGTCCTAAAATGTGCATTTTAGGTAGGACCACAAGTTTAACGCATGGAAAATTTCACATCAGCCAAAAAGGCGCTGCTTAGTAGATACTTTTGTACCACCGTAGCGCCTGTGGCGCTTTCTATGTTCTATTACAAAATCCACCAGGGTATAACGAGGATCACTTTTTTCGAACTGTGCAAGTTTGATGGTTCGGGCGGTCTCCTCTTTTCCACATGTTTCTGCAATATGGTTGCACAGAGTAGTCAGTCCTGAAAATCGACCCACTGTGAGTTTCGTTCCGATTATGATGGGTTTGTTAACACTATTCGCACATTTGTTCGGTTATAAAATCGACGCAGCATCATAAGGCCACTAGGCGCATTTGAAATGACCCTGACTAAAACGGGTGTATAAAAAAAGTGTGAAGCGTGAGGAATCCAAGGTGACTTATGAGATTGAGCAAAATGTAAGTAATGTTAGATGAATCTAGTGGGTGAACTTGCGTTAGGAAGAAGAGGGAATATACATGGAATAATGAGGTTCTTCGGATATCTCCTAAGGTTTATCGTAATACAGAACAATAATGGAAAAACACTGTAAGAAATCAAATAATTTCCAACACAACCTTCCATCGGATGCGGGGATAGCGCTTCAAAACTACTTAGCCAAATACTACTCGTATGCTTCACCAGTAGTATACACCACCACACTGATAAATTCACAGTTGATGGATGTTCAACTTACCATCACGTCAAATAACGTACTGGGGTCAACAAATATATTTCGGCGATGTTTCATGTACTCGGCAAAACGATTTTTGTTATCCATCTTCACGCGCATCAGTCCAAGACGAATATTGCTATCTTCGGACAGTGTCCTCAAACGGTGAAGTGCCAGCATATTGTTGATCCAAGTGTCATCACCTTTGAGGGCATCCATGATCAAATCTGCAAGACCAGGGTTGCATAACAACAGCCATCGTCGTGGGGTGATCCCGTTGGTTTTGTTTACGAATTTTCTGGGCCAAAGTTCGGCAAAATCCTTGAAACTGTAGAGGAATATCGAAGTTAGGACGGTGAATAAACACTGAAATGCGCAGTATGTTAAAATATAGTATTTCGGATGCCTTAATTGACCTTTGGGTAGGTGATTGTTGGTTTGTTTGCCAACGTTGGCGTTTGGCTTGCACCTACAATGGTCAAACTCGTGACGTCACTAAAACTGAAGCCCAGTTCCTTGACGAGGACTGTTCTATCGCACCTTGGGAAACCGCCCACTACAGGAATCGCCTAACCAAACGTTTTCAGTCAACCTGACAACTTTATTTTGAAGAAAAACCTTGTTTGCCGATAGATAGATCTACCAGAACTCTGGTAGGTAATCCAGTCCGATTGATCATAAACGGACTTGCCTATGCTTAGCGGCTCTTTTATACTATTTTTAGTGTGGTTGAGCGTGTCTGTAAAACAGGCGTCTAAATACCCTTTTCTCATTGTTCCGTCTGGCTGGTGTCCAGTTTGGCGTGATGAGCTTGGTAAGCCCGGAGAACACAGAGGCACTCACCTGATCGGCAACCAAATTCTAACGTCTGCAAACGGTGAAGGACCTAGTGCACGACCAGTATATGTACAAAAAGAATAGAACACACTAAAGCACACTGCTGGTTCATCTTTCTTATACGACCAGGTCCTAAGAGTGGCCACCTATTTTCATTAGATGATTTTACAACATCTTGATCGTAACGGCCATGGAGAGCACATCGCTATCTCATCAACAGCGCCTTCGCGTTAATGAAAAGATATATATATTTCATGCTTAATTCAATAACTGACGCAGAGGTGTATGACTGAGAAACGTTATCCCTTTCCTGCAGAGGCCATTCCCCCGACTACAGCAATGAAGTAAATAATCCCCATGCAGGAATCGTAATATGACCCTTCAGCTGAGCTAGTTATAGATTGAAGTTAGCCTAAGGAGATTTTCGAGTTTTACAGTTTTTGCCTTGTAACTAGGGCCACTCTATGCTGAAAACCTGAGGAGCACTTTACAGCTGTTTCATCCTCTCTGGAAATCGTCATCAGTGCACGTCTCATCATAAATTTTGTGGACTTTATTGACACATGGCAAGAGTGGAAGGTTGGTCGAGCCGTAGGATCGTATTCCAATTTCGCCTGCCAGTTTCGTGATGCTTGCAATATCGGAAGCCGTGCCACTGTACCAGCTGGGTCCTCGCTAATGATCTGCTGTAGACTTGGCTCTCTGACCCATTCTCCCAATCTGACGTCATTGTCCAGCTCGAATTCAGTTAGTTCATGTACTTCTAGTCAACCGCTTACATACATTAAAGACAAAACATATCATACATACGAAGATACGGTTTGAAACACGTGACCACCTCGACAGCACAAGCCACAGCAACAAGACAACAAAGGTTGCACGGAAGACATGATCAACTCTCGGAGAGACACAAAAAATGTCATAGGCATAACCAGCCTCACTGGGCTGAAGTGAGACTAGCCACAAAGTCTAATTGTCCGCCCAGATTTGGTTGAATCCCTCTAGTAGTTGAAAATTCAGCAAGTTACGACAGGCTGTGATAATGCTGTTGGTTTATGATAGTGGGCTTTTAGATTTGATTTGTACGGAGTAATTATGTCTGGTTGCGGAAGTCGTGGAAGTTGCATTCATATCAGTCATATTTGAACAGCCCACTTCGAATTCCGATCAGGTCACTGGGTCACGCGGAGCCAACAAAGGCAACTCCACATTGTTCTTCCATCTTAGACCCTCGTCCCTCTGCAGTGACCAGTAATACTTGACTGCGTCAAGTTCCCCTCGTGACTTTAGTGTTATATGAATACTGAGAAAGTGTATCGATCAGAATTTCACTTCGTAAATGAAATCATGCCGAGAATCACTGGACAGCTTTTCCCATCCAGTACGGGGACCAATATCCTCACGTGAATGTCCAGGGAAATTCTAAACTGCAGTCTTCGGGGTAGTGCTACAGTAATCTACGGTTCGACTGCGATTTCTCAATTGGAAAATGATGGATGTTTTCCCTTCTGAGAAAGGATGAAGGACAGCGATTTTATATGCTGTTTAAGTGAAGGCCAGTAACGCTTCGACCATTGGACGGTGGTTAGATCTACTAAATCAAAGTTCGAATTTGGCGTTGTGGTACATGAGATTAGCAGTACGACGATTGCAACAAAAATGACTATTTCTGGCTGAAAGGCCCGTGGTCAGCATCTTGGCTGCTCCTGTGTAGGTTTGGCCAACCTGGCAGTATCCGAGACCTCGTGCTTCCTCCGGGTGGCATGGCAGCTAGGCATTGAAAGGGTGCTATAGCTGGACAAACGAATTGACAATTTAAGCTCATCGATTTGATTCCATTACTAGGCATTGAAGGGTGCTATAGCTGGACAAACGAATTGACAATTTAAGCTCATCGATTTGATTCCATTAACGAGCATAAGAGCACACTCAAGTGTTTCTGGTATTCTACAAGCGGGTGAGGTGATAGAGCATAGAACATCGGTTATTGGTCTGTTCATAGACTGTCAAACCAAGTTATTCGAACTAAAACATAAAACGGTCCTGGAACACTATCCTGTTTCACATCCATCTTTTTTTGAGCGTAAATGTAAATCTTTATCTGTTTTTCCATCACGACTAATCTTACGCCAGCTACAACGTGTCACATCTTTGGATGTCATAAACCCGACACGAATGGCTTAAGTGCCGCCGTTTCGGACGGGAATAGGGGGTATTCATGATCAAACGTTTCTTAATTCAGTCAGTGTTTTTAGACACCGCCGTTCGGACGATGTACACAAAACGTTATAACTGATTGCGATGAAGTACCGCCTATCTGCAATGTTTCAACGTTCAAACTGACAAGCGAAAGTACCGGCTACAGTCACCGATGTTTGAGGGTACATACTGATTTGTGGACGCATCTGATGGCCGAAAATACCTGATTATCACACAATGACTGTCAGCCAAGTGTAGTTGTACTGGTGTCAGGTATACACGCGGTTGAAACCTGCATGTCGGTTCCTAGTGGAGGATTTGTCGTGTAGTGCAGGAAAAATCTAAGTTCAGTACTACAACTCTGATGAGACAAATCCCGGCAGGAACTCGAGCCCATATTTCTCTTCTGTTCATTGAGAGGGGCAATTTGATTGCAATCGCTTCGTCGGTCAAGTTATTATCTGATTGAAAATGCGGTTGTTGAGCTTGCGTGAAGTGATCTAGGATCTAATCACCCAGGTCAACCTTGACCGTTCATTGGTCATTTGGGTGAGCGTTCCTACTGGCCTGTTAGGTGGGCTGTCTTTTGATTGGTGAACGTCCGGGCAACCTTGAGACTTGGCCTATCCGTTCCACCCTCGCACTGAAGTTTAGTCGTTCGCCTTCACAGTGAGCCCAGGCACTCAGACAGGGTCGATTTTGATATGCCGGTCGACTGAATCCTATACTGAATACCGCGCTCCTAGAAATCCCTCTCGTTGGCAGGTGCAAAAACTGTTCACATAATTCTTACTTCTATCCAGAAAATTGTGGAAAGAACTGTAGATCAAGATGAAAGGACCAGAATATCGTCTAGATTTTTTTCGAATTCGCACTTTCAGCGTTGACATGAAACAATTACTAATTTTGACCATGCGAGAATTACTGATCGATGACAATATCTCACTCAAGTAGAAACAAAAGGTGACTTTCTCAGGCAGAACTTCCCTGTAAGACCATGAATCGGTTGGCCCCCACGGAGATTTGCTTGCGTTTTTACCAACGAATACCAGTTGTTCTGACTTCCACTCACACTGCAATCGATCTATAAGCTCAAAGGAAGAATGAAAATCAGCCAGTGAGTGAAACTTCTGTGTGAGAGCTCATCACTCATGGAGCCAGTGAATACGTGTGACCGAGTGGTGTGGATCCCGTGATTGAAGGATATGTGGTAGTATACTCTCCTCATGTTCAAGTTCACCACACTACTGATCAACCGCTCTCAAGGATGAAACAGTTTACAGTGCTTCTCGGCTCGGTTTTTTAGATTAGTTCCACTGGCAAGGCCAGAATGATTTCTAAATCTCCTCATATTATCAACTTCAGTTAGGCCCAAAAGCGTTCAGTCCACGTGATCCTAGAGTGGGAAATATGATAAACTTTCCACCGGAATAGAATGCATACCAAACCAATCGAAAACAAAACAATGATTTGTCCTGCCGATTTACAAAAACGAATTCCTTTGAAGTAGATGACATTTAACAAACAATTTTTCTGGCGTCTTAATCCCAAATTTTTCATTGTACGCAGCTGAGAAAAGTGATACCAACGTCCTATTATGTAATTGCGCTGATATGATCGATACGGTTTGTTTATTGGCAAAATCAAACCAACAGGGGATAGTTTAAATTTCAATTACTGTCCTTCAGGGTCAAAAGTATTCGAAACATTGTTTAATTAGATAAGGAAATTTGTCGTACTGGCAGTCCAGCACGGTGTATTTTACTGATAAGGCACGTGAGTAGTGTTTGATCTGGTGTCCAAGCTCCGCCCCCGCATCTGGTGAAAAGTGAAGCTTACAACGGAAACTACGGAACTGATTAGGAGTTTTCGTTCATTACTATGTAGTATTCAAAGTACGTCCAAGAAGGTTCAAGGGACGCTTGAGAATGACCGCTTTCCTAAATCTCTGTGCAGATGAGATACTTACCATCGCGTCTAATGGTTTGTAAACGCTTAGTCTTGTTGCTAGTGATCACCCCTCAGCGAAGTGCGTTAATCCTTTGAGATGGTTCAATTTATAACTAGTCAGACCACTACTCGAGGATAAACGTATTGCATGTTCATTTCGTGACTTTACTCAGAATAAACATAGGGTTTTAACCACTTATGATACCAATCACCCAGGATAGGTAATTGTTTTTATGATTACTCCTAAGTGTTTTAAGATATTTCTTTCGTGTATTCCATTTTGGGCGTACATGCTCTGGAGGCGATCTCCGAGGGGCGAAAGGGGTTGATGGGAATCGGAACCCGGGACTACTACGAACTTTGGAAAGGTCCAATTTCTTGAGTAATTTTATCTCTGGAATGAGTGTGTATCGTTATTTGGGCGTCATGATAATTGGAGTGGAATAATACCTTTACTGTTTGCCAGAGAATCATTTTTTCGTTGGTAGGGCTTGTTCCTTCCAGTTGAAGATACGACGATATCAAGGAGTCTTTGATGACGCCATGTGATGACAGTCTTGAAGAGCTGTACTCCTTAGCGAAATTGCACATCGAATGACTTTCATTGGTGTGAAAGTGAGTTGCACGTTTCCGCGGGGATGTAAACATGAAATTCGTCAATTAATTTGGTCTGTCACTCTAACAGAGACCGTCATACCCCATGACACGCCAGACAAATTGTGTCCCAATCCACATGAGTCGGAATATGGTGAAGCACGTTCATCGATCAACCATTCCGACACCAATCTAGACGCAATTTTGCATCGTGTTGCCCAGGTAACTCTTTTCCCCGAAGTAAAGCCTTCTATCACATGCAAAATGTGTCTGACCTTGTTTCCAAACTTGCATCGATTATCCGAGCAACGATGCAAGGTGGGATCAGATAGCCAGATACCTTGGCTAACCGAAGTGAGCTGAATGAGTGCTGCAACACACCTCTCACATTACGCGTTGCCCTTTCAAATTCTTTACTGTCTGGTTGTCTTTCGTTTGCCCCTGAAAGAAACGGAGCCATCGACATACTATCTATGGCAAATAGGCAGTCAATGCTCTCGACCATTCACGTCAACAAAAGTTCGAAAACCTGAAAACGGCCTTCACAGTTGAAAACACAAGTGTCCACGTTTGGCGTGTACTTTTTCTGACTGGTATCGATCAGCAATGAGTTTGGGTGGCAAATGACAGCTGGGCATCACAAACTGGGCTGCAGCTACTGGAACGGTCAATCGGTCTATTTCAAGGCCGGTAACTGAAAAAGTACAAGCTGTGATAGAGAATGACCCAGAAGGCATTCAATCATGTAATTCATCACATATAGTAAGCGACCAGGTGTAGGTTCAACTCCCGGTTGCAACGTGCATGCATGCGTCTTCTAACTGTGAGCGAACTAGGAACACATTTTGCCGAATAGTTTATACTCTTCGCTAAACAAGTACAAGCAGGCCGTCATAAACAGATGTGCACGCGTGTGCAAATGAATCGCACGTTCTTACGAGGTGTTGAACCGTCGACATTTAATCCTAGGCCAGATCTACTTTGACCCTGAAGGTCGATCACACACGTGCGCCCTCAAGTCATTTTGAGACATATCCCGATTAGTTCCGCATTCGCATCAAACGAGGTTATTGTGTCCAGCCGCCAGACTGTACCTTTCCAAACACAGGCAATCGCTTCTGAGTTCTCCGAGGAGCGCTGAATTCAGAGTCGATGAATTTACATTGTGGCTAGCTCCGCCACTGAGCTGAGTCGGTGGACATGGTGTCGTTTTGCACGAATAACCATGAAAAACACCTGAGGGACAGAAGTTCTAGAACAGGTATTTAACAAGAGCACTCAAAACTCATCGGTCTCGATGGATTCGAAAAAAATCAACAACACAACATTCACGTAGGGCACGGTTTTTCTTTAAACTGCGTCAATTCACTTTCCAGTTACTGTATCGTCTAACCTCTAGGAGGAATCTAGCATTAACTCAAAGTGGAAATCGATCGGAGGAAACGTTAGACCGGTTATGTTGGGTGTCAAAGCTATCGCTTTAGATGTTGGTGGTCGGGAAAGGCCTTAGATAAGAAGTCTGTGTAAACTATACTACTGAATATCATTGTAAAACATTTTCTGATATACACACCGAAGGCTGGTGACTTAGGTGCATGTTCTTGAGGAATGGCATGTGCGGCCCATACGGCGTTGCCTGATTATAAAATGAAGATGTGAGGAGGTTGATCCAGAGAACAGTCAATGAGAACAGAGAATACCTCTTCTACTGAGTACTGGAGGTTACCGCTGTTTGTGGCTGGAGGACTACCTACATCTTTGATCGTCTGAGCCGTGCATCACACACAGGTGCAAATCTCGGGGTTGTAGAAACGAACACATTGATATAAACCAACAAAACAAAACAAAACAAAACAAACAGCACTGTTTTCAGGTGATTCGTTTGCACTGCTGATACGCCGTTGACACAGTGGGAACCCACGATACACAAGTGGTCCATACTGACAATCGGTCGGTCCGTCATTCGGAGAATAGACATACGTTGGAAACGGCTTGGGTCATTGGGCCATCGTCGATAGATCATCTGCAGCATCGGTTGAGACATGGGAAAAGGGTTAACGAAGAAACAGGTTAGGATGAAGAATATCACGCTGACGAAGTTGCTTCCAGTCATACTTACTCTAGTGGACCAATCACAGAGCGACCACAGAGATGTGAGTACAAATCACCTCATCGAACTGATTGGTTCGTGGCCTAACTGTTGTTTTGGGATAACCAATTCCGACCGAAATTGAAGACCAATTAGCAGTTAACTTTTGTTGATCAGGAACTCTGAAATTTTGAAAACAATGTCTTATTGATATAACTTTTCACCCAAGTCTTACTATACCGAAAAATCGATAAGCACTCTACAGCTGTGAATCACCAACAGTGTGAATCTCGCAGAATTCCGGTAGGAAGTTTCGAACCCGTGACCTCAAGACTATTAGTTTGAACTGTTCGGTCACGAAGGACTGATCAGCCGTGTGAGTTATCAGGTCGAATCTCCCGGCGAATTCGTGAGATACTCACTGCGGATTGTTCCAAGTGAGGACGAACACCGTTGGCATCAACATTGGCTTTCCAGACAAACACTAACGACAAAAATTCATTGTGTAACATTCACCTGATCAGAACAGGATACACGCAGATATGCAGCTCGAAATTTATTTTGTGAAACATCCACAAGTTCAAAAAAGATACTGTAAAATTAAGCAGCGGAATTCCGAATAAACGTCACGTAATGTTTGTCGATCAAAGTCATTATTTTACGAGCAAACCACTTAAAGTTTATCGCTTGCTCCAACAATCACCTGCAACAAAACTATAAGACTGTTCATGTTTCTTACCTGACTGAAAGGTGGATGAAAGACTGCTAGCCACTGGGTGATGGGCGCGTTGGAAACGAAATTCGGAATTTACTGAATTATTTCCAGGAACGGGTTTAATCTCAAAGCGACAGGTAAACGTCCAACACTAAATCCAGGTGCCATTTCGTCAACCGTCGTGCTTAAAAACATCCACAGGTTGACTTGCGGTGATATTTCGATGGACAGTTCGCGCGATGTTAATCCGTTCTTGTCCTACCACGGCCATTCACTCGGTTTCGGGACCGACTTTCCCGTCCAGTCCGATTGAGACCGGGCTTGTAGGTTTACAAGTTTTGTAGCTTCATGTGGTGGAACACCAGACGGCCCTTTTTTGGGCGAGAAGTGTCAACCAGCGCAATGTCGTGATGTGACTATTCGTCCTCACTCCTACTGTTGGCGATGACGGAAAATGTTAACCGTTCCAATGCATCAAATCTTGGGACTTTACTCGATCTAACTTTCGACTGCCGTCTATTCTTGCAACAGATCAATCATCCCATGCATGACGATGATATAAGAGCACATCGCCCAAAAGCTACCGAGCTTGAGATCATGTGTTGAAACTGTTTGTATTTTCCGTCCGTCTGTGAACTCTGATCGTGTCAATCACGTGTCAGCTCGGCTAATCTAAGACCGCTTGCCACACACTCGCCAGTTCCACATCCTCGATTCTGTTCACGCTGTGACGCTTGTTGATTTCCACTGACTTGGCTATCAGCCGCTATGGTGTGAACCACAGTCCCTGTCTTAAAACTTATTTACGGGTTCAATCAAGTAAGTTCAAAGCGGCCGTGTGGGGTGGGAACACAGGTTGTCAGGATATCAACTCATGATCTAATCCACTCGGCCAACTAAGATTTTTGGAGGGTTTTGGAGATATTTGATCGACTGTGTGTGGTGGCCTCAAAAACTCTGGACATGCGACTGGAGCAACGAATACCAGTTGTCCTGAGTTCCACTCACACTGCAATCGATCCATGAGCAGCTCAGTGGAAGAATAAACTTCACCCGATGAGCGAAACTTCCATCTGAGAAGCCGTTGGTCGAGGAATCAGTCAATAGGTGTGACCACGTGATGTGGATCCCGTGACTGAAGGATGAGCGGCGCTATATCCTGTTCAAGTGAGAGTTAATCACACTGCTGAACAGCCACACCTAATCTAATATGATGTAAGGACGAGGCGTGAAACCCTAGTCTTTCCCTTCCCTGGCTAAAGTCTCGATTGCTGATGATTCCAATAAAGATGAAACAGCTGTGATCAGTGCTTCTCGGCTTTTCATCGTAGATCGTCTTCACTTACATGAAGAAATCTCCGCACCTGATCTAATATGATGTAAGGACGAGGTGTGAAACCCTAGTCTTTCCCTTACCTGGCTAAAGTCTCGATTGATTTTCTCAATAATCTGCATGTGTCTTGGAAGCATTGTCTTCAGCATCTCCACCGACCAGTGCTTCAGGGCTTCAGTCTGCGCCACATGATTTGTATGCGTGAATGTCTGGTAGCAGATATCCCAAGCCTGTTTAAGGTAAATGAAATGGAAGACACTCTGTACGTGAATGAATATCTCAATGGGGAAAGAGGTACTAGCCGTTTTATTATCTCTAAAAATAGAAACGGAAGGCTGCCTTACAAAACTCGTCAAAATGGCAAACGGCAGAGTTCACCTCACACACATCAATGTTCGCCATCAATAGCGATGCCAGACTGTCATCTTTCGGCTTTTCAGAGCAGTGAGAATGGACTCAGAGGATTATAGAAAGTTCGCGCCTTGGCTCTACTCAAAAAATCTACTTTATTAAAAACCTAACAAGATTGTAACAAATCAGTCTGGGTAAAATAAAAACTGCTCTTTGAATCAAAAGCCGCATATGCTCCACTATGGCTGATTGGTCTTCTCTACCGTTAGATCAACCAATTCAACGCGACCTGGCCTCAGGTGAGCGGAGGAATTGAAAGTGAAACTAAGGGAGCTGAAGTCAAGGAAAAGGACTTTTCACGGGAAGGAGAACACCTGAGTGTAAGATGGCATCCAGCCATGTGATGAACGCATTCAAATCAGTTGGAAATTAGGATGACACCAATGCAGCCTTTGGAAGCAAGTCTGAGGACTGATGGACTCAAAACACACGCAGCGACCAAGGTTTGAAATGTCAGTGGATCAGAGGAATAGGAAAAAATGTGAAGAGACGATTTGAGCATAGTATTGGATCCTCCGTTTCACAAGACAATCCAGTTCTTTTAAAATGAATGCGGATTACAGGCGGGAACAATCGATTGAACTTTTGTATCCGGGCACATCTAGGACGCATCACTATGGGCTTTAGTCCGCTGTGATGAGACGGTCGATAGTAAACCATTAATGTTTTTGTCAGGAAGTCTTTTGAGCACACGCATCGATGAATCACTAGACATACCGTCTATCCAAATGGATTGATCAACTTTCAAAACTGGAACTGGATTGTTAGTTATTGGAGAACAGTACTCACTATCAAACGCGCGAAGCTGCTGACCACAACTTAGCAGGACAGAAACCGAGGATCTTGGGGCTGACAACTTGACTCACGATGAGTTGAGACTACGGTGTGCGTGAAAACACTCAGCGGAGGCAGACGAACGAACAATTTGAAGAGCATGGAAATTTATAAGCGAGTTGTTGTACCTCTGTAAACAAATGTCACGAGAATGGCAAGTCCATCCGCGTACCGTACTCATCTCCCCCAAAACTGTGTGCAGTGTAACGCCAGGTAAAGTGAATAGCTCCGGAAGGGTGTGCTCAAAAAGTGCTGTGTTGATGAATAACACGGTGTTGAAATTGACTAGGCTTCCTCCATCCAGCTAGCCGTGCACAGCGATTGAGGTTTCCAGATATAGTCATTATGAGATGCCAAGAAATGAAGTTTACTGGCAAAAACCACGCTTGTGCAATGACTGTCGTGGCACCATAGCCTGTGAATTAATTGTGAAAGGCGTTTCCTCCTGATACCTAGTCTCAAAGCAAAGTCGGATGTCACATGATTGTCACGAACGTCTAAATTATAGGGAGTGACGTGCAAAAATTATCTGAAGCAACCTGGAGACGTGGTAATATTCGAAAGCGGCGATGGGCAAACATCTTTTTACTTATTCAATTTATCGATCAACGGAGTGAAGAAAACTCAGTGGAACCGCACAGCCACTCAGGAAAGCAAGAGATAGAATAGAAGAGACCGAAACTAGCGTACGACTCAAATTTTATCAAATAAAGCGCTGCAGTAACCAATCAAAACGCTAAAGAAGCAAACCAATAGAAACACAACAGGTGGAGAGCAGGTGATTTTACAAAACACCGGATATTCCAAACGGGTCAATACATGCACAGAGGGCCAATCAAATCAATAGGTTCTCATAACGCAACTCACCATAGACATCGAAGGAATCAATCAAAACATGGAGTGGAAACTGCCGAAAACGATGACGTCCAGGGAACCAATCAAATACAAGGAAATAAAAGCACAAGGCAACAGATATCTAAAAAGGATCAATAAGCAACCAGACAGCCGGAACCAACGTTAGCCAAACACGTTAGAGATACAAGGTATGCAAAGCAAACATGAGATGTGAAGACAACCACCCAACTGATGATGCGGTCTCGAATAGTGACGAAGCCTTTGTACACCGTTTACCCAGCTCGGTAAACAGAACAACAACCTGTGGATATCCAGTCATTTGGCGCCGGACTGGTGTAGACCTTATTCCTACGCAGAGACTGAGCGCAGGTAGCATCAACCTTATCATATTTTGATTATCACATTTTGATTCGTGGGTCCCAAGCAAATAGAAAGAAATATGAGGTTCCAGACATGGTCGAACTGACCATTCCCAAACAATTTCAAACAGAGACTATGATTATGAAGTGTGTTGTAAATTTTTAGATCACATACATAATCATTTTTTCGCGCTAAACATCAAAAATTCTAAAAAACACCAACACTTGTTAACAAGCTATTCCATTCACACTCGATGTATCTGGATGAGAGTGGCTTTTGACAAGGACAATTGGAGACAGCAAGTCATTTAACCAATTTGTCGGTGACAATCGGCACGGGCCGCAAACTTCAATATCCAAGGTCACATTGAAATGTGTTTAGGTTGAATTAAATAAATGAATAAATAATGATGCAAACTATAGGCATTCCGACGCACAAAAACAATAAAAGTAAGGAGGTTCACAGTTTTTCTAATACTGAATTTGAAGACTACTTAAAAGACAAAATGATACGGCATCTCAAAAATAACGTCGCATACGTTTGAACTACGAAGGATACTACTGACGAGGCGTTGAGTAGTGTCTTCTCGTAAACCTGCTTCGCGTCTCTTGAAAAGTGAGATCTATTACGGAATTTGTGGAGTCGCTTTGTATCGTTTGCTTGCATTTGAGTAACAACCAATGAATATCCAGGAAAGTTCAGGAAGACGCGTTCAAGGAGAAGATGGAAATCCAGTTTTGTAAACAAGATGCATATGAGAGTTTTGCCCCCTGTCTACTAGTCTGTAACTGTTTACTTGGTGTTTCCCGAATAAACAACTCCTCAGCGAAGGCCTCCTTCCTTTCACCTGTATTGCAAACTGCGAACTGTATGGAATCTTGATTCAGGTTCGAAAATGTTCGTTAGCATTTCAATCTTCTTTTCAATGTGAAGATTGCAGTTCCTGGTGTGTGTGGCCTAATTGGCCTGGCTCACTTCACTAACTGATTGCCATCTGTAAGGTTTCTTCGGTGATGTGACCTTGAGTTTGGTGGGATCACAACCGAAACTGTTGCATTTAATAGAAGACAAGACTCAAAAAGGAGGAGGATGCAGACCGCAGTACACATAACCGGCAAAGCTGGTGGTTAAATTTGAACTAAAAGGGCTAGACCCAATCAGCAGAAACTCAGTTTGGTGTACTTGTTCACACCGAAAATCGAAAGACAGCGCAGTACAACACAGGGCTCACCGAATCTATGGTTTTAGCGAATTCATTGGCACATTCTGTATTCCAAACCCAGTTACAAGTTTCAATCAAACCCACTGCACCCGCAGTGACTAATGCACGCACCGATAAAATTAGCGAACGAAATCACATCAAACCGCAGTTCTTGTTCGAGCCTATCTACGTTGCACACGTGACCACGGCGATCAATTCAGACTGAGTGCGCTATTTAACTGTCATGAGCGATGGAAGGCCAAAGCACAGAGACTTTGAAACGACCGTTGATAGACTGGTGTACCAAAGGAAAGCGAAATATGGTAATGCCCCAGGGTGAAATTTAGAAATTGTTCTTGGCAGCCTGGTAAACTCACGGGTAGACTTCTCACGCTATGGGCTAACGAGGCTCTTTCACTGGATTACAGAGAGGTGTTCGGTCGCCATTGCAAAGCCGTGTAGTGTTATGACATGGCAACGTGAAGTGAAAGTGACCACTGCCAAAATGAGAGCCTTCGGATCTTAGCGCCTTCCTGACTGGGACACACGTGGTTAACAACCCTACAAGACATGGCACGCAGTCGATCCCAGTGGCGCACATGCTGTCATTTCCTGTCATTTCCACCTAAAGGTTCCCTGTCGTTGTGCGCTGGACTTGAGTCGGGGTGATATCGCCCAACACCGACATGATACTCATGTATGTTTATCTTAATACTGTCTTGCTCGTTTTCCTAGAGGACATTGGACTTATCCGCACTTATTCTCGACCCTTCGCTCTTCTGGAACCTTCGTCCCTCATGGTTGTACGGCGATTAAGCACCGATATTGCTGTGTACTGTGTGCAGTTACTAACGATGAGGATGATGGTGAGCAATCCTAGCGTGACGATAAATCGGCCAGCATACATGATGACTTCTCATCATCTTGCAAATTGTCGAATAGGGGGATCCGTTTGTCACGTTTACCTCTGTTGGATGCAGTGGGACCGTAGAGAAACCACGTGATCGATTCGTATTCAATACTAACAAGGAGGAAAAATCAGTTCGAGATAGTGACTGTGAATATCGGATCGCAGGTCCTGGACGGTCTTGCATATGTTTTCTGCCAAGTACGCCCGCGTTCAAGAATCTCTCGTTTTATTCAGTACCTTGAAGCGTTTTACAAAACTATGCATGTAACTTGCGTCCAAAATCCACAAGGTTTATCTTGAAATGCTGCGGCGTTCAAGAGCTATGCTCCTTCAGGTCAAATTGCCCACGTAGGACAAGTTTTGTGTATCTTCCCCTGAAATTTGAACATTCATTTGTGAACATTTCTACAGAAAGGTCACAGATTTCGTGTGATACACTTATGATTTCTGGGAGTCTAAAATATCGATTGTTCGAGTACTCTGACTGGCTGTCGATCAGGTGACAGCTGACCAACAGCCAAACGTGATCTCAGTTAAGCCTTGATGAATGTGAACCGCCAATCTGGAAAGCCATTGGGCATGCTTTTCAAGCCACTTTAGGCATTTCAACATAATTTACTTTAATTGATTTTTTAGTCAATTGGAATTATCGGTGGTTTGGTGCGACGGCATGTTTCAAAACTCTGGTTTCAGATTATCAAATGAAAGTTCAAAACTCCTGGAATAATGATCAGCCAGGAAAAGGGGAACTCATCACAAGGAATGGTATTGATGTGGTGTAAAACGATGTGAGGTTCGCATTCAGTTGGCAGGTTTTCCCCATGAAGGTCTACCGAAATCTCGCTTCGACACAGTCGATATTCCAGAATATTAGGTTTACTACAGTGTTAGAAGGGACTTCATGTGACCGATTGGTGACTTTCACTAGATGGCAATGTGTAGATCTCCTGAATTGGTCATACAAGTGGTTCGGAACGTTCAGATAGCCTGGGCATACACTACAGACCCAGGATATTTAGTTTCCCCCGCATGATGTGAAAGTTGTCGGCCATCAGTAGGATATGATGACGGTTCTAGAAACATCCCATTTTTCCATTTCGGTTGTTCAGCCGTTCCTACACATGACTTAGCGGAAATCGCCATCACACGTTTCGCGCACCGGGCCGGAGAGCACCGGTTTAGTTCGATATGACAGACAAATCAGAGTGATGGGTGCCAACTAACTGTGTACCCTTTCATGCGTACAAGTTTGATTGGCTAGTGGTCTGTGCAAGAGGGTTCAACGGAGATTTGTGTTTTTAGCTAGGCGAATAAAGTCTGTATGATATTCCCGGTGTCATCCATCCATTTCTCACACCAGGTATAAACCGAAACGGTCAAAGTTTCCAACGACCTTGTGAGTAGTATGTTACGTGTATACAAAGACGTGTTTCGATATTCGGAACACCGTACCAGTTGGAACATGAGGCGGCCTGATGAAGCACACTTAGTTGAAGTGGACCACGATACATCAGAGCTTCTGTTGAATTTAGCTCAGCCTCTCGTCGAAATCGAATTCATGTGCAAATGAGAGCATTTGTCGAGATAATCTCCTGTTTTCAAGTTCGGTTATCTCACTTTATGTCCACCTTGCTGCTAAAGTGCGAAGTGAGAGTGATGGAAGTTAGGGAAGGAAGCTTGAATAATGAGCCCAAAAAGGAATGAAACTTGTGGTTTTGTCAAACAGACAGACAGAGAATAAGAGGTAGAGATATCTGGATCTCTTGAATATCATCCAAATGAGGTTAAATTAAAAGGTTTATTCAATTGCATCTGGATCTCTTATTAATATCAACCTGAATTACCGATGGAGGCGCATCTTAGCATATATACGAGTTGATGTTCGGCGGATCAATCGATTTAGTGGGCTCGAAAAAGGCGAACCTGGCAGCGAGTTAGTTGCCTAGGCATTTCATCCGACTATGTCGGACAAATAAAGGAATAACCGTTGTCTTGGATGCCTGGACTGAGCTCTGAGTAAGAAAATCTGGTCGTCACAAAGATAATTAAAACGAAGCCATGGGTTTCATTCTCCTAAAAATCATCATCACCATCGATAGCATGACATCAGTGTTCAACACCAATGCTTCACTGCCGTACAACCATGATTTATTTGAAAGCCTTATTGTAAAGAAAAGAGTAAAGATGGACGGGGAAGGGACTTAGTGCTAGCTTAACACAATCATTCCGAGGTGCATACACCTCCAAACATTCACTCAGGCGATCTGGATAGAAACTGACAACAAGAACGCCACTGACATCGGTTGGCAGACATATTTTGTACTGTCTCTAACCAGGCATATTGAGAATCACGCGGTCCCCATCCTGGAAGGTGAGTAGCAGCGACAGCACCCAAGCGTTTGTGATCTCCTTCATACTCCTCTGCCAAGTCAAGAGTTGACCACCTCTCTGCTTACGCAACTCTGAGTTGGGCATGGAAAACAGCACTCTCTTCGGCAAACGATGGTTCAACATACGCAACACATGTCCCAACCAACGCAGCTTCTGATGCTGGACACATTCTTCAATGGATACCCGTAGCACAATCGAAAACACGCTCTCTAACTGCCTCGTTACGGATTCGCCGACACCAACCCACACGAGCGACAATAACACCTGAAAACATCTCAGTTCCGCTGCTCGAATAGGCCAAGTCTCACAGCCATGCAACAAAACAACCCGTACTGTAGCTTGATAGATACATCTCTTCAGATCCAGGAATGAACCTGTGAATCACTGTTGGTATGGGCAGAACATTGCACATCGTACCGTTCGTCAACCCATGATAACAACTATCGATCTCTGTGGTGGCATTCGACTTCGATTGAGCGCAGCATCGCTCCAGCATGCCATGCGCCGCAGACCCTTTCAGATCCTCCGCCAAATGCACCCAGTTGACAAAAGAACAACCATGACCTTGAACACGTTGTCCGCCAGAAACAGACAAATGTGTTGCGCTTGTGGACACGCAAAGGAAACATGTCAAACCCGTCCAACCAGCATCAATTCTGGTTGGTTCGTTTCCTCAGGGGCTTCGGGCCCAGCCGAACCACGACCGACCACAATCAGTTAGTCCGAATTCTGGTCAGATAGTTGAAACACAGTCTTGGTGCAGGTCGGCCAAATCGACTGTGTAACTGTGATAAAACGACAGATCGTCTCTCGCGGACCGTGTTATATTGAGGCCCCTCCGAAGCATACATCAAAAGTGAGAATGCGGCAGACTTGCTGTCAACTGTAAAGCTGTTTCGGGGATTGGCATACCGTAAACTCCACTTAGAAAGTATACACAAGCCGCTGCATGTTTCGCACAGTACGAACTTTTCGTCCGATTTCTCACGCAAGACAGTTTGAACAGTGGACAACCAATTCTATGTCCGTAACTTACGAGACGTGTGGCAGTCCGCCAGCTCTTCCCACGTCTAAACAGTTTCACAAGTACACAGATAAGAGGCGTGTTTGTCCCATGATTAGTCAATTAGGAGCGACGTGGCTTCCTGTTATCTTTGTCTCTCGAACCCGTTAAACGTTTACAACCGTTCGATCACATGTCAGTATTTGCCAGACTCGGTCAGGTTTAGTCTATCTCAGGTATTTCATGTGGATGTCGGCACATGCATGTGAAAACCATCTATATTTTGGACAAGAGCTTCTCGGGGAAAAAAACTTCTAAAGAACGACAAAACTAGTGTGTTTCTTCGTCATCTTTTGAACTCAAAGCCTAGAAATTCGGCTTGATGGTTTGTGATGCAAACACATTGCGAAAGTTTTGATCGAGATTTTGTGCTGTAAGTCAAACCATTCTATGCTGTAAAGACGAGAAGCATCGCAGAGCTGTTTCATCAGCAGCGCGCATCTCTCCAGACTCCAGAGAACCTCGAACCAACTGGTCGTGGGGGAACGTTCAAACTACTAGCTGAGAGATCCCGAGTTCAAGAGTTTCGTGTGGTGCCTACTATGTGCCTCGTTTTTTTAGCACAGACTGTTTTCACTGGGAGAACGAGGCCTTCTTCTTAGATGTAATCGCGATTAGATTATTCCGATCTGTCAAAGCGGACTGCGGGGTTCATGGTCGAAACACGCAGGGCGGTCAGATCCAGCTTACAGTTGGTTTAATTCAACCTTGTTTAGTTTTTCATATTCTCTCCAAAGGTTCAGTTGTTTTGCCTAGTTAAGGATTCGTACAGGATGCTATCTACCTTGAACTACATTGAGGTTCTGACTATTGATTCTTTTTTCGCTTTATAGGTGTTCTGATCGTCACGAGGGTCGTTGTGGTGCGCTCCATATTACCTGGCCGCTGCGCGCCGAGGACGTCAAAAAGCTTTAAGTGTTTGACCATCGATTTCTTCGCAGCATTGACCGAATCTGGTGGGAACATCGGACCAGCAATGCTGAAGTTCGTCCAATGGTATTCGGGAGAAATAACTCAACCCCGACACATGAACTGGTCACGCTGCATCGGTTGCGCTGGCTTGGCCACGTGCTGCGGGTGCCAGTCGACCGACTTCCTCAAAGGGTTCCTTTCGCACAACCACGTGAAGGGTGGAAGAGAGCCAGAGGCGGTCAAACAATGACCTGGCAGCGCAGTGTAAAAGCCATTACCAGCAAACTCAGCTGCGCTGGTCATTGCCGTCTTCCTGGATGAGGACCCCGAGACGGGCCATATCAATGGTTAGAGACATTGTCAGACATGGTCCAGTCGCGCTTTCAATGGCGCTAATGCATCCAAGCTATTGCATTCAATT